ACTTGGACCGACCTAAGTACTAATTCATAATTTCATATCCGGGCACATGGGCGGCAAGCCACTCATATCCGGTCACATGGGCGGCAAGCCACTCCCATCCAGTCACATGGGTGGCAAGCCACTCCCACAAAGGAGGCCACACCCACAGAGGAGGTTCCGACAATTTTTGAAACCCACCACTGCTCTAGACAGTAGAATAATTACTTCCCATCCAAGTGTTCATCGGCTCTTGTGTTGCTTATGTTTTTTTGTGATCAATCAAAGTTGGTTAAACTAACTTTGGCTAGGATACAAATAAATCTGCCATTGATTTGAGGTATGCTGGGCTTACTTCAGTTACCCTATTACTGTAGGATAGCAATTGAAGCATTCAGTGTTAATGGCATTTTGCAACATAACGTTCCTACCGTGTTGTATGTAGTCCCTGGTTTCATTTTGAATTATGAAATGATATTTGTGTTTCCCCCCTTGAATTAACTGGATTTGTTTTCAGTGACACTATTCTATTGGCAAATAAATGCCTATGCAAAGTTTATATTGTTTTCTTACACCTATTTCTAATTCTTACTTGTGTGATCTAAACTGCATAGGAACACGACAAATTAAGATATTTAAAAAAAAACAAATTAGCAATTGGCTGAGATAAGAGTGGCAGTAAATAGGAATGAAATAAACTGAATGAAATAAATTTCATGATGGCTGAATGAGGAAGTATGTTGAGATCCTACCCAACATTTCTTCCCTCCTCCATCCCCAAGGGAAAATTAGACAATTCAGATCAGAACTACAGAATACAGGGTTGGAAGGGACCTTGGAGGTCTTCTAGTCCAACCCCCTGCACAAGCAGCGGACCTTATATCATTACAGGCAAGTGGCTGTCCTATCTCTTCTTAAAAGCCACCAGTGATACCATATATATCATGTATGGTCTATGGGTGATTCTGGATCTGTAAACACAATTGTTCATACATTTTACCTAGAAGATATTTTAGGTCAGCTTTTAGCTTATATTCTCTCACCAGCAGGGAGGGGAAAAGAAAAGTTCCTTAAAAGAAGTAGTGAGAAGGGTAGCAAATGGCAGATTTTGGTCATTTTGCCCTGCTTGTTGTAGACATTGGTTTACTCTCTTGGAGAAAATAGGATCACACTGTAATTTTTATATATGTAATAGCATACACTGAACTTCGTGTTGAGAAGCCATTACAAGAGAAATTACTGTACTCCAGCTAAGATGCTTAGAACGTTGATGTGTAATTTATCTAAGTTACAGTAGAGGAATATGAGCTAAGTCAAGAAGAACAAGTAATTTATCCTATTATGAGTTCCTTCTCGGGGGGAAAAAATAGCATAATCATTTAACAATCAGTACCCTCCATTTCAAGATCATTTTTGATGAAGCAAAGAGCCACTGCTTTTCTATGAGTTCATAATGACACATACATAATTATGTGTGTAAATCAAGGAAATCTCAGTGGGAGAACAAAATATTTTGAATCAGTGGAGGAATTTCATTCCATTTTCATCTTTTGATTTTAACACAGTACCTGAAGATAAAAGCATATGTTATCTTTGACTTGTTTTCAAGGAGCCTTCTCTTGTGAATAGATATGAATTTAATAGATTTTTTACTAGAATTTCATTGGGCTTGAGAATGTATTGTAGCAATTAGAATCTTCTCTCAAGTGTCTTGTTTGTAATTCTGCTTTTAAGGCTGTAGTAATTCAGATTCACATTGCAGTGAGGAACTGAATAGTAGAGAAATACATTTACAAATTGAATTAATCAGCATGGGGTTTGCTAAGATACAAATACATCTGCCATTGATTTGAGGTTTGGCTAGTATGAACAGATAATTTTATGGTGTTTAACAAATGGATATAGTTAATTTAAATTTCCAGAAAAGAAAACACTTGGCTTCCTTGTATCATATGCTTCAGCAGCCCTGTTTCTTAAACTCATTTAAAGATAATTCTTTTAAATGCTGATAGTGCTTATGAAAATTAGTATTTCAATAGTATCATTATGGACAAAGTCCTCTAGAATCAGATCTGGTATCAAGTATTACAGAATTTACATTGAGATTAAAAAAAAATGTAAATGAGAAATAACATTGTGTCAACATTTTAGCCTTTTTCAGTTTGAATATTTATTATAAATATTTATCTTTATAAATATAAATAATATTTATTATTATAAGACATTTGTTGAAAAGGTGTATGTATTCCTATATTAATTATAGCAGAGAATGTTCAGTAATGATCAAATATCTGACAAATCAGTATTTATTATTTGCTTTTTGGTACAGGTGTTTATAACATATTCTCATGACAATAATATTCATATTTCCAGCTTTTTAAAGAAGTTATTTTTGAATTAATTATCAACTTTCTTGTCAGATTTCACTATTTTAACAGCTTTTTTCTCTTAATTTATATCATATATATGAGTTTTATTTTGATATGTAACTTGATGATTTAAAAAAAAAACTTTTATGCATAAATCAAAAAATCCTGTAGCATGCTTTCTATTAATATGAGCTTTTTAAAGGGAAATAGTTGGAGTTTTTATATATTAATTGAAGTTCAGCTTCTAATAAATCCAAATCCAAAAAGAACTATGGAATTGGAAGAACAGTAAAAAGATCAAGGACTTCATTTTTATTTACTTTTCCTCATTTTTTTTCTATGCAATCACTTTGCTAATAGGGATGAGGATAGAAGGCCCTTCCCTTATCTGAAGCCCCTTCCCACCTTCCTTATAAAATCCCTTCAAAATCAAAAGCTGGGAATGGTCTTGCTTGCTATCAGAAGGGGGCAACATGTTTGTGGCATAGGTGTCAAACTTGATTGCATCACATGACGGATCATGACATATCACAATTTTATCTGACCTTTGCTGAGAGGTGGGGTGGGCGTGTGGTGGGCGTGGCCTGCATGTCACGTATCCAGCCCGTAGGCCGCCAGTTTGACTGACTTGTTTAAGAGAAGTTAGGTACTAAGAATAAAATTTCTTATGCTAAAAAAAAAGCAGAATTCTATACCTTGGGAAATGTATTCACATCAAGTATTTATGCACTGCCCAGGATCACTTTAGGTGAGATGAGCAGTTTTATAAATTTGATTGATAAATTAAAAAAAAAAAGACTTAACCGTTTTGAATTAAAAGCATCTCTGCTAGCAGAAATGGGAGAATAAAGAATGACGGATACTCTTAAGTGAGATTAACTGCCGAATCAGTATTAAGTACCATGGAAGCATATTACTCGAATCTATTACCCAATTCCTTCTAGAGCAGGAATTTGGGTGGCATGAAGCAGATAAACGGTCTTATGACTATTAAACCAAGCAAGACGAGACAAGAATTTAGTTGCCCCCTGGGAGCTAGAGAAAGCCCCATTATACAAAGATTCCCTAAGCTTCTCTGCTTGTCACCAATCTCTTCATGCTAATTCCATTATACCTGTGGTTTTGCTCTGTCCTCGTTCATCCGTTACTGAAACCAGGAGATCTTGCAGGAGATATTTGAACTGTGAAAGTATGTGTTGCATATTCCTATTTGGGTTTGTAAGAAAATGTGTAAAAAATAAAGCAAAACATTTCCAAAATATGTTGCCAAAAAAAACTACAGGAACTAGTCCATGCAGTTGCCGGGATTAAACATTGACTTGACGGGAATAAACAAACCCGATTTAACACAACAATATCTCTTGTTTGGTTGGTTTTGTTTAATATCCCACCAATTTAACTGTCTAAGCAACTAATATTTGGATAATTATGTTATCTACTCTTACCTTGTATTTATCGTGAGCTGCTGCTTTTCCTGAATTTATTAGGTGGAAATAACAGAGATTGAAAATGAAGAAAAAAGATACTTTCTCTTCATGAAACTCCTGGAAAATAGCAGGAAACATGAAGAATTCCAGCATTTAGTGATGCTCCTGCAAGCTTGGCCTCCTATGAAAAGCCCAGATATGTAAGTTATTTCTTTTGCACTTTAACATAAGCCAAAAATACCTTTCGGAATTTTAAAGTAGATCTTCTCCTAGTGTTAATTCTGAGTGTACTTTCCATTTGTTAAGAAAAAAAATGTTTCTAAATTCCCTTGTTATTTTTAAGTGGTAAGAAACTGGCACTTTGAGTGAGTGGTTGATTGATGGTATTTCTAGGCCACCCCAATTCTGAAAGACTTTTTTGCTGTTTTTGAAGTGCAAAAAAACACAATATGTTTTCTCATAGAGTCCATGAACCTATTCGTGATGATTGATTGATTGATTGATTGATTGATTGATTGATTGATTATTGACCAACAAAATTCAAGTTAAAATGCATAGATATTTTCTGAAAGATTAATAGAAATTAATAAAATGGTGCAGACTTTTCAAAATTATACATACACGTACGTGTGTGTGTGTATGTGTGTGTGTGTACACATATACATATACATGCACACATTTGAGTGGCTTAAGCTATGAACTGTAGGTGACAATGGTATTCAGTTGTTATTGCTAATACAGCCCAACTTCAAAGGAACACTTCACCAAATAGAACATACTAGCAATAGCAGTTAGACTTATATACCGCTTCATAGGGCTTTCAGCCCTCTCTAAGCGGTT